CAGCCAAGGCCCTGCCCGGCTCGCACCCGCTCTGGCAGAGGTCGCTCAGAAGCGCCCGGGTCAGGCAGCACCCAGGGGCACAGCTTCCCGCCGACGCCCACGGCCGGCCCAGCGCGGACCGGGCACCTCTGCCTGCTTTGCTGGTGCCTGGGCAGAGCTTGATGGCACCCAAGGGCAGAGCAAGAGCTGAGGGTGGTGGCTGTACGTGGGCTCGCGGGCCAGCCACGGGTCGGCTCACAGCTCCTCTCGCCCTTGGGCCAGGTTCTTCTGAGCTCACCACCACCTCTGCTCGCCAGGGCAGCCCCGTGAGATGCAAGGCTCTCCATCCTTCGTGCTGGTTTCTGACGTGGCAGCTGGGTAACGAGTCCTCCCCCAGCACCCAGGGAGAGCTCGTAGTCCCTTCCCCGACAGAGGAATGATTCAGCGAGAGGGAAAGGAGCAGATGAGGACAGGACGCTTTCTGCTTTCCTAAGATGTTTCCTTATAAGCTCATTCACCACATCCTGTGCAAGGGAGCCACGTTCCGTTCCAGATGACACCAGCAGAGGTCTCAGCACCATTCACAGTCTCACAGCTGAAGGTCCCAGGGCTCCTCTTCTTCCCCAGCACACAATGGTCCAGAAAGATTCCCCATGAACTGAAGAGACCAACTTCAAGACCATTTACTGCGGATGCAGGGTGACTTCAGGAGTGACTGTGGGACTCGGGGGCACGGCTGTTCCTTCCTGCTCCCCCTCTCGCCACACTGCAGTGCTTAAAGAGATGAAAGAAAATAAAAAAGGCAAGGAGAGGGAGAGCTGCCTAAATCAAACCCAAGCATTGACAAAACAAACACATGGACTAGTCGCAAGTCCTGCGTGAAGAGCAAGCAGCAAACGTTTCAAGAGCTGGTCAGATGTGACCCCAAATATTCAATAACAGAGAGTCAAAATGCTACATTGCCCTGGGAAGCCTCAAACAGGTGTGACAGCGGCTCCCATGGCAGCGCTGCTCCAAGACACATTGCTGGTGCACTTGCTAAGATCCCTTCCTCCCTATCTTTGGGCACTGGGAAAGGGGGAAAAATTGTTTTGCTACCGATACGTTGTTCTTGGGAATGGGAGAGAAAGCGGACATGGGACTCGGCTCACATCACTGCAGGCTGTGGAGAGCCCTGGGGGCAGGCGGTCACCCTCCAGCACCGCACTGCCCCACCACAGCACCCACAGCGGCCACGCACCAAGGATGACCTGACTGAGAGCAGCGTGGGTGATGCCAAGAGACACCATCAGGAGCAGCCCGGGACTCTTCCAGGACCCCGCAGGCACGCTGGCTTCCCTGGCTCTGGACTCCCAGCCTCTCCTCCATCACAAGGGAGTCTGACATGGGCATTCCCAAAGCGCCTGCGCCCTTGCTGAAAAGGTGCTATGACACTGAAAGGACAAGGGGAAAAAAAATACAGTTAATGGCTGGATTTCTTTTAGCTCTGCAGGTAAGGAATCCAGGAGCAGCAAAAATCTGGCTCTCCAGACAGCAAAGCCTGAGGGCAAAAAAGGGGGCGAAGGCAGCTTTGCAGAATCGAGTCAGCCAACTCAGGAACAGCTTCAGAAGCGAGCAGTGGATCTGTCTACGGAGGAATGGATGCTTCTTGTCTTTGGCAGCTGTCTCCAAACACGTGAGCCAAAGAGGGCCCCACTCTCCTTTGCAGAGGTTTTTTAATTGCTGCAAAGGGAACAAGTTAACCAAGTCCCCTTTCTCCCAAGGACTGGTCAAGACAGCCTGGAGCGCAGGAGGAAACGGAACGCGTTCTGCACCCACCCAGCCCCGCGAGGCCCTGGGGCTGCTGCGTTACAGTAAAGAGAAACAAAGCACAGCTGCTCGTCGTGGGCAGGGCAGCAGCCAGGACACATACTGCTCCTTGGAATGGGCAGGAAGTGGGTCACTGGTTCCCCAGGCAGTGAAGGGGCAAAGCAAAGTCATCAGCTGGCCTCAAAAAGGGAAGCGAAAAGAATTCAGAGAAAAAGGCAAAGTGAGCAGCAGCTCCTTGAGACCACCCCTGTTAGCACAGGCTCTCCCAGAGGAGCACATTGAGGAGGAAAGAAAATAAAATCTCTCTCAGCTGCTGACAAAAGCCAAGACCAGCCTTTAAAGAGGTGCAAGCAGGTACGGGGCAGTCAGTCCCTTCCCTTATCTGGGTGACTTGAGCAGTGGTGTAGCAGCTGGGGGCTGACACCCTCTGCTCCCCTGTTCCTCAACACGCACCCCCACATCAGTGCAGTGGCAGCAGGACGTGGGGGGCAGCTGTCACATGGAGACAGGCCAGTCCCGTGTCCACCCTGCGTCCCTGCAGCTCCCCCAAGGCTTGGGGTCAGCCTGCACCCAGCGCTGGAGGAGAAGGGCAGCACGGAGCGGAGGGGAGAGGGTGGGAGATGGCCCGGCAGGAGAACGGCGATGCGGCATCCGAGAGGACATGAGCAGGACATGACAAGCTGTGGTCGGTCACGGGGAATCTCTGTCCTGACCAGTTTGGCAGCACCAGTGCTGAGGGAGGGTCCTGACTGGACCACGAAAAGTCACTTTAAGGTGTCATCAGTGTTCTTGAACATGAGGATGGCATTGTAGATCTTGAGTGCCGGGCCCAGCTTGACGCTCATAATCTTGACGATGTCAGCCTGCGTCAGCAAGAGGAAGGCCTCGCCATCGATCATCTGGAGAGGACAGCAGGGACACAGGCACTCACCAAAAACCCAGGCTGTGACTTTCTGGGGACAGCTAGCACAGGCATGACCTGGGGAGGGCTGTGCTCACCCTCGGTCAGGTGCCACACCTGATCCCAGGGAGCAGGGCAGGGGCCGCTCACGGCATTCCCACAACGCCCCAGATAACGCAGAGCAGTGCTGGGAGCAGGGCAGCGAGCAGGGCAAGACCTCGCCAGGGGCTTCTGTGCCAGGGTGCAACAGGCACAGCGCGCAGGCAGCGGGCACTCTGCTCCAGGCAAACAGCCGTCCACATCCTGATCCACACCCCAGCACGCGTGGAGGCTGCCCCCAGCTCAGCTTTGCGTGCCTGAGCGCCCTGAAAGCACAGGGACCATTTATGAACACACCGGGGCACTTGCTGTACCCAGTGAGCCCAGACCAGGCCGCCCTTCGTGTGCTGCACATGCTGGGAAGGAGCCCCTCTGTGTGTCTGTCCACGGAGGGGGCTAAAAACAATGAACCTGGCTGACAGACAATGATGCCACCAAAATGCTGTGCTGGTAAGAGGATGCAGGAGGGAAAGGATGAATGGGTGAGGAATAAGCAGCTTCCCCCAGGAGGTGATGGTGCTCCTCCTGCTCCCCCATCCCCAGGCTCCTCAGAGGACCCCCCCCTCACCCATGGTGGCTGAAGAGGCCAGCTCAGCTTCTGGGGGCTCAGCGTCTCCCCTCCTGGCACCTGGGTGCGAGATGTGATCTCAGCACTCAGCAGCCACCCACTGCAGGACAGTTACTGGCCAGTTCCTCCTTGCCCTCTCAGCCACCAGCTGTCCTTGGCCACCCTCACTCCAGCCCTTCTCACCTCATCCTTGAAGAGCTTGGCTTGGTCTTCGCAACCCGTCAGAGTCTGAACAAAGCTAAAGACCTTGGAACAAAGAGAGAGAAATGTAAAGTCAGAAGCCATGTTTCTGGCTGGAGACCCCCAAGCCATGAACCCCCATCCTCGCTCCCACACAGGCATTTTGTGCTCTGCGAGGTAACAGGTGGCTGTTGGGGCACAGCCAACCCTCCCGTGCCTAGAGATCACCCCTGGACCAGGGCACAAGTGCTGGCCTCCTCCAGCCCCTGAGTTGCAAATGCTACAGCAGCTTCACCTTCAAAAAGCCATCTCCAGCACAGTGAGATGATTCCCACCGAGGAGCGGGCACGGGAGAGGGGAACACGGGAGGGTAATGGGGAAACTGGGCAAGACTGACTGCTGGGGCCAGAGGTCCAGCTACCTAGGCCTTGAGAGAGGCCAACGACAAAGAAAATGAAAGAAGGTGACAGTGAAGAATCCGAGGTAAAGCCTTCTTTATCAGAGACGCAGAGAAGTGAGTTCTTACCTGCAGAGTCTACAGTTAATTTTTTTTTTAACTTGGCAAAGGTACCACCAATTTCTTTGGAAAACTGTAACACACTGTTTGCCTTCACCTGCCTGCCCTGGGCTAGGGTCACACTGAAGCCAAGCAAGAACCTGTTAATTCCACACACACTTCGCAGAAGCTGCCACCAGGGCTCATGTCTGGCAGCTCCCCGCGAGCAGGCTGCTCTCTCAATAGCCCAAGGAAGCAGCTGCTGAAGCATCTCCATGCCTGGTGGATGGGCCACGGCGCTGCACAGCCAGCTGGAGTGCTCCCAGCCACGTCGGTGGGTTAGGAGCCAGCACATGGTCTTAAAAAACATTCTCACCTCATCAATGGTCCACTTGGCCACTGTAGTTGCCGTGATGCCAGCCACCCCCGGCAGGAGTTTGCAGTGCTGCTCCCAGCAGAGCGACAGGGAGCGGTCGGGGTGGGCAGACAGGGCAGACATGAAGAGCGACTGGTGCATATTGTCTGAAGAACCAGCTGGCAATGAAAACACAAGATGTGACACAAGGTAGAAGGACGAGAACATCCCATCTCATCCTGTCCTACAAGCCTTGAGGAGGGTTCTGTCGAGGGGAAGGCCCAGAGCTGGCAGCAGACTGTCTCACGGGTCCCAGTATCACGAGCTAGTGGTTATCCCTTGAATTAACAGGCTATCAGTGTAGCCAAGTGCTCAGTCTGGCAGGGCTGCGGATGGCAGGGGAAGAAGTTTAGAGACAAGCTTGGCTTTGCCCTGTTCTCACCACCTTCAGTCATTTATCTCCACAGTGAACTAGATTTAAGTGTAAAATTTTGAACCAGAATGCCATCCCACATTATTCAGTTTGTTTCACATTTTTAACAAAGTTTTTCCCTGGCTCTCTGCTCCAAGGCCTCAAGGACGGCTCTCAAGAAGAGATCCTCTTCATTCACCCCCAGCGCTGGCGTAGGCAGCAGGACAGCCCATGGTAAGACTGTTACTGGCTGGAACAGATGACAGTCGTTGACCTAAACGCCAAGCAAACCGTTCACCATCAGTTCCTGTGCTGCAGCAGTAATTTGGCGCTTCACAGCCACACTGCTGTTTTAGGGTACGGCAGCGACAGGATGTAGGCACAGCACCCCTGTCTGAAGAGGACAAAGCGCTGGGGAGAAAATGTACTGCCAGAGAAAGAGGATCCGAATTCCCTACCCTAAAGTGCTCAAAGACCCACAGACATTAACCAAGAGACGTGATGAGGGACGTTGCATGTCAGGTGGTCGACTTTGGCAGCCGAACACAATCTCCCCACCTGCGTGAGGTCTGACTAAACAAACCAAGAGAGACCTGCCTCCAACAGCCACCAAGCCAGCTCCTCTAGCCTCGCCCCGACGGTGACACTATGACAGAGGACAGCACTTACTCTGGAAGTCTTCCTGCTGGATCTTCCGGTACTTTGGAGGTCGCCCTCTAAAGAGACAGGAAGACTGATTTCCATCTGGGCTGGGACTGGCCCCAGCGCCCTTCTCCACACCGCACAGAGCAATGCCTTGGCAGTGGGAGCAAGGATTACTGCTTGGACCCTGACCCAAAGGGTTGACAGCTAAAGACACAAAAGATCGAAGAAAACCACGAGAGGTGCCCAGCAGAGCTGGAAGGACAAACGCCTCCATGGTCAAGGAGCCTCTCTGGCTTGGCCACCCCTCCCGGGGATGGCGGTGATGGCACAGGGGCCCCGCATCGCTGCGTGGGGTCACTGGGCTTGCCCCTACCTCCCGTGGTGCCGAGATTTCTTTCGCTGAGGGAAGCCAATCAGGTTCCTCTTGCGAGTTGAGGCCTCAGTGTCGGACAAGTCTGCCTTAAGCCTGCCCTGGTTCTTCTCCGCCAGTGGGCACCCTGAGAGGCAGTAATGGGCCGTGAATCTCCCAGTCACATGTCCTGACCCATCGCAACCCGGCGTGGGGCACTTCCTAGAGAACAGAGGGGAGGCAAGTGTTGGGCACAGCGCAGAGCAGCATGCCGGGGGCAAACCAGCAAGGCCACCCCTCAGCCCCTGAGCAGGGGAAGCTGTAGCCCTGGCCACAGAAAGCAGAGTAAACACGTGCTGAACAAACTCCCAGGGTGACATGCTGGGTGCATGGGCAGGGCAGAGTCAGTCCCTCCAGCTACAAACACCCGTCCCACCTTCTCCGCTATGGTCAGAGCAACCCTGTGCAAGCCAGGTCATTGGGGTGGGGTCTCTTCCCTTCCCTGCCCCCACAGGCATCTAGATCAGCCTCAGGGTGAGGAGGAAGCAAGTGCCACGAGTGTGCCCAGTAGAGGAAACCCCTGGGAGTCAGATCTGCCTTCCCCATCTTCCCAGATCCTCCCCCATACTCGCTCCTCTTGACGCCAGCCCGTCGTGCTGGGGATAGCACTGCACTGTGCCTGGTTTCCCCTGGGAAAGGTCACACGGGTGACGGACAGAGCTGGGGGAGATGCGCTGTTCCTTCTTGGGACTTCCCAGCTCACAGCCTCACAGCAAAAGGTATCCATGAGGGGCAGGAGAAACATCATTCTTGAAGTGAACAGCATCTTAGAGGCACTGCACCCTGTGTAACCCATACATCCCCACAGGTGGAGGGCCACACAGGGCACCCCAGGGGCTCTGGGTGTCACAGGAGAGGCACAGGGTAGGAGCTCACAGGAGTTACACCAGCTGTGGGCTCTGGGCCACCTCTG